GGAAGAAGGGAAAAAGAGAGAGACATGTTATCAGCGCTGCAGAGAAGGGCGTGCTGCTCACAAATGGCGTGCGAGGAAGCGGGACACAAGCCCTGCCCTGGGCCAGGCCCCTCGCACAACATCGGCAGGCTCGGGGCAAGGGGGGCTTCCTCAGCAACCCCCTGCTGCAGCTCCACAAAGCGCTCAAGGGACAGCCACGCTCCCCCCGAGAGTCCAGGGAACAGCCACGCTCCCCCCGAGAGTCCAGGACCCCCCTCTGCCAGCTCCCCACGTCCCAGGGCTCCGCCTGCATCCCTCCCAGAGACGCTTCCTCTGGAACGTCACGTGTGCCTGGCGTCCCTGCTCCCGTAAGGCCCTTCCCATCTCCACCACCACCGGCCGTGACAGTGTGTTTCTTGTAATCCCCAACACCCTTGTACTCCCCAACACCTCATCAGCATTCCTCTCCGCAGCCGCCACTAAAGCATCTTTGATATGACAGCTCCTCTCTACTGCAAATCGCTACTCCATCGCATCCCTCGGGTCACTGGGGAGGAGCTGCAGGAGACCCACGGGCACGGGCAGGCTCTGGCAAACCCCTGCCAGCTGCAGCAGCCCGTTTCTCTGGTGCAGGCAAAGCTCCAGGTCTGTCAGCCCCCTTAAGGGGGCTCCACGGGGACCTCTGTCTCCCCATGGCCTCTCCAGACCCCGTAGCATTGCTCCTGGTGATGGAAATGGGCCGATATCCCTTCCCATGGACACTGTCACCACCAGAGGCAGGTTCTGAGCCCCGTGGCCAGCTCCAGCCGAGCTGGCAGGTAGCCAGCCCCCTTCCCAAGCACAGGCTCTGCTTCCAAAGCAGCGATGCTCCATACCTACAAAGAGAACGAGGCAGGGGCCCTCATTCAGCTGCACGGCGTTGGAGTCCGTCAGCTCCAGCACGGGTTTGGGATGCCAGGGGAACTCGCGGCATTCGATGTCGTTCAGCACCTCCACCCGCCCCTGCCGCGTGATGACATCTCCCTTGGAGTCCAGGACGATGAGAGTTGGGATGCCTGCAACAGAAGAACAACAGGGGGGATCGGCCAAAGCGTGAACCGGCCAGCGACAGGGCGTGGGGAGAAAAGCCTTTTCCTATCGCCTCTGGCGCTGGCAGGAGCCCACCAGCACCCCGC